TGAAAAAAGAAGTCATTTATTTTTGTTGCACACATGTAATTAGAGGGGGATGATTTTCTAAGTAAAGATAGTGGGTGGGTGGAAAAACATCACAAACAGGAAAATAATTAAATAAAAATAAACAATTAAGAGATTTCTTCATTAAACAGCGCGTTAACAACAGGCTTGTAAAAGAAACCAAAAACTGTCAAGTTGGAAAAATGCAGGGTTTATTGACAAGTCCATTGTCAATTTGCCAAAGGTACTAAGATTTTATTCAGAAAACAGAAAGTAATGGCGACTTAATAACTGATTTTAAAAATGGCGGCAAAATAGCAAAAGTGAGAAGAATCGTGAACGCAACTGGATTTTTATTTATATTCTGCTTGGCTACTTAGTTTATATATTGCTAATTGCTTCAATCCTTATCACAATGTGCAGTTTAACGAACAGACTCCTCATTTTAGTAAATAAACTGAATGTGATTTTTCGCCAAACTATTATTATTTTTTAAATTTTCAGCAAATTAATATAATTTATTTGTTGAGCCTTGGAAGATTATACAGCTCAGTACAAGAAAGCAGAATACACATTTGTCACATATAGAATCTGTATGTGAGCAAGGGGCTATGGGAGAGAGCCCAGTCAAGGACATAAAGGTAATAATTAGTGGTTTTATGTAGCAGTTAATAAGAAGTAATGAGACTTTGGAGGAGACACTTTGGATGCAACAAACAAAATGGAGGACAAAATGCAAAAAAGTTAATTTCCATTGAAGAGGAAGCAGTGGAGGGGATACAGGAGAATTTTAAGTTGAGTTGGGAAACAGTTGAGTGGTACACCAGCCAGTGATCTAGAGAAGCATGTTGTCAAGTGGCTCAGAAGATAAGTAAGGTGTACTAGAAGGTAGTCAATGAGAGTAGAACCTGTTGAGAACAGATTATTTGAAATCAGATAAATTAAAAGGAATGCAGATGGAGTTAATTAGAACAAAATGTTCCTGTGGTATGAGAAAATTTGGGTGACACATTTGGGGTGAGGTGGAGTAGGGAGATCTCATAATTCGATTTATGGCTGATAGATGTTCCTAAAGAGGTTTGTTCCTATGGAATATATAATGGACTGGAGGCTAGTAGCGGGTCTGATAGAAAGACAAGCAGCATTCTACACAATGGAACACCGATCACGAAACATTTTAGTTGCATTGGAAAAAAGTAGTGAGGTACATGTACATGCTAAAGAAGCATGAGTAGAAGTTCTACTTAGTAGACAGGAGTGGTATTGCCCATATTAACACCACAAATTAAGATTGTATCCTGGAAAATTACCCATGCATTTGTTATTATTAAAATTAATACAAATAATTAAAAAAAAAATACTTTCGATACTTAAAGCGTAACATTCTTTTTTTCTTAAAGAAGACATTTTATGTTAGATTAGATAGTGACATTAAAATGTCTTCTTATGTGGTAACTGCATTATCTGCCAATGAAAACAATTAAAGTCATCATAAATCTGTATTGTCAATTTTTCATTGTAAAACATGTAAAATTTCTTTAGTACAAATTTTCGAGAGAATTTGTGCAATTTCTTTTTCTAATATAATAAATATAATAAAAACATAATAAATAAATATACATAAGGCTGGTTATTCACCTGTACAAACCTATATTAAATGCAAGGTAATAACAAATCACCCTTTGGCAGCTTAGGATGGCTTAAAGGCTCTAATTAATTGTTCGGCCGGCTTATGTTTTAAACAGTAGCCAATAAAATTATTTATGATATATCAAATGGTTCAGTGACCCTATCTCAGGCAGACATTAACTTACACCGGGTCCAGAGAAGGGGGGTAAAGCTTCAATGGCCAGTGAAGGACATCCGCATGGTGCAGCGAAAAATAATAATCAGATAACGCTTACCTAGCTTTTAACTAAGGCGTGTATTAGGGATCCAACAAGTACTTCTGTTCAAAGTGGTTAGAACAAACGTATTCCTCCGAACGCAGGATTTGACCTTGAAAAGTCTTGGTGTTGAAATCTGGTATTTGCAAATTATGTTGTGGTATCTGACAGTTGTATCAGTGACTGCAGCTACATCCTCTTGTTAGATTTTATTCAACACGTTCACATACAGACATAGAAAAAAAAATTAAGCATTAAATCTGACATTTGTAGGGTTTTCAAATAGAACAGACTCATGTTCAAAAAATTGACTGGTAAAAATTAACTTTCACACATTTTTATATGTTTGTGAATTTCCTAACACTATGCACAGTGTTCTAACTGCTAGACCATTGGTATACAACAGAGTAAAGTACAGCAGCATAAACTGATGGGATCCTCCTATAACATCCGCAGAGCAACTACACTGGAGTAGGCATCATTAGGCGCTCCAGATGTTGTGGACTTCATCTCCCACCAGTGGCGAAACTTCCCCAGTCACAGGGGTGGCAGCTACGAAAGGGCCAGTCACTGCAGGGGCCCGGCTGCCTTGTTGACTGTGTGAAAGAGAGCCGGGACCTCCCTGTGTGAGAAGCAAGTAGTGAGCAAGGTCAGAGTGCCCGCTCACGTGGTGGGTGTGCAATTATTTTCCTCCTGCTCCTGTCTGTCCGGTGACAGCCCCCCTGGAGGTGAGTGTGAGCACGGTCTAGGCTCCCTCCGAGTGGGCACCATTTACACAGGCTGTGACCTGTCCTTATCTTCCCTGAGCAGTGCTTCCTCCGGGGCGGGCCGCCATAATTGTAAAAACACAGGGGGTTGGGAGAGGAAGGCTAAGCTGGGTTGCCTAGCACGCAGGGATATATACATTTCCCACTGAAATTCCGGTGTTCTGACTGCTAGTTGTTCTGCTGGAGGGTCACAGCCCTCAACCAGACAGCCGTTGCTCCAGTGTGTGCGTCAGCCAGGTACGAAGGGGCACCATAAGCACAGGCTGCAACCTGTCCCACAGGAACCTGCAGGATGACTTCAAGCTTATCCAGAGGATTGGCAGTGGCACCTAATGGCGATGTATAAGGTAAGCACCGAGTAAGGGGCAGGAGTGGGGTTAATCATCACTATGTGAAACTTGTGCCCAGGACAGTCTGTGACAGACAGCCACATGTCAGGGGCATCCATAGAGTCACACAGAGAAACACTCTGCCAAGGGCAAATCAATGGGAGACCAGGTAAGAGGGAAACAAGAGGGCACGGGGAGGCCTGCTGAGATCAATGGGTGCTAGGGACAGGGCTACTTGGATCTGGGTTGTGAAATGGACTGACACAAACAGAAAAACTGCGGCCTTTGACATGCCGGTCGGGCTGCTGGGCTGGCGGCGCTGGCGAGGGAGCACTTTCCCCTGAGCTGTTTGCTCAGCTCCCTCGCGCGCCGCCTGCAGAGTGATGCCGGGAGCCAGAATATGACGTCATATTCCGGCTCCCAGCCTCACTCTGCGGGCGGCACGCGAGGGAGCTGAGCAGACAGCTCAGGGGAAAGTTCTCCCTGGCCAGCGCCCACCCGACCAGCAGCCATCCCGCCCAGCAGCCATCCCGCCCAGCCACCCGCCCAGCAACCCCACTAGAACCCCCCCAGCATTCCTAAAGGTAAGGAGGCTGGGGGGGCGTTAAATAAAAAAAAAAAGTTAGTGTTAATGTGAGTGAGTGTGTTTGTCTGCTAGTATGTGTTTGTCTGTTAGTGTGTGTGTGTGTGTGTCTGTTAGTGTGTGCATCTGTTAGTGTGTGTGTCTGTTAGTGTGTGTCTGTTAGTGTGTGCGTCTGTTAGTGTGCGTCTGTTAGTGTGTGTCTGTTAGTGTGTGTGTCTGTTAGTGTGTGTCTTTTAGTGTGTGTCAGTGAGTTTGAGTGTGTGTGTGTCAGTGTCAGTGTATTTGCCTGTTAGTGTGTGTGTTTGTTTGTCTGTCAGTAAGTGAGTGAGTGTCTGTTAGTGAGTGAGTGTCTGTTAGTGAGTGTGAGTGTGTGTGTCTGTAAGTGAGTATGTGTTTCTGTCAGTGAATGTGTGTGTATTTAGAATGCAGAGCGGGGGGGGGGTAGGGTGGCGCGGGGAGGAGGACGCCTGAGTTTTGTCCTGCCTAGGGCAGCACAAAACCAGGATACACCACTGGCTGAGGATCTATCTGTTATCTAACTGTGCTCTATAGCAGGAGGCCCTTAACAGATTCTTGTAGAAGGGCTGGGGAAAGGGAGAAAGAGACACATGAAAGGGGCTTGGGGGAGAAGACACAAACAAAATGCATCTTCACTTGTGTCTCCTGCTCTCCCTGTAACTCTGAGTCAACAGGTGAGAGAAATACATTGTATTAAAGGGACACTATAGTTACCAGAACTACTGCAGTTTAATGTAGTGGTTCTGTCCCTGTAGGCTGAGCACTGTAAATGCTACCTTTTCATAGAAAAGGCAGTGTCTACATTGCTGCCTAGGCACATCTCTAGTGACTTCAAGAAGCTCATGTTTCTTTGTTAGAACATTTGTCCTAACGTGAAAAAAACCCAAAAACAATTATAAACATCTATAACACAGCAGTAAAAGTAAATGGCTTTCCTTGTTGGAATGTAAATAGTTAGCATGTTCCTGCGTTTTCTGCGTTTGGTCATTACGACAATGTCTATGAATCAAATAAAAATGAATTCCAGCCCTAGCTGTGTCATATTCCCTTTGAACTGGCCACGATCCAGTCTGGAATTTTAAGAAGTTGTTAGGTCGAGATTCTAAAACAAAATGAATTAAAAGAAACACAATAACATTTTGCCTTATTAATTCAACATATTGTCATTGCTGCAAAGTTATTATTACTAATATTAATAATTCTTATTTTAACACATAGCCTTAATTATTATTACGATTTATTTTTATGTTCTTCCCTATATTTTGTTCTTTAAGTATGCTTAAACAAAAACAAAATCATTAGTAAAAAAATAGAAAAATAAAAAATAAAAGCTTTTAATTGCTGATTTTTGGTGTTGAATCAGTTAAATCACATTTGGTGCAAAATAGAAAATCTAGGGTGTGTTTTGCCGTGTTTGATTTCACTCAGTGGCTAAGGTGGTGGTGGTGGGGGCGGTAACGCCCGCATCTAATTTTTTTTTACTAAAAACCTCTTGACTTCCAAATAGATTACACCATCCTTTCCCCTCGTTCCTCGACCTCCAATATCCTTCCGTGTTGTAAAGATTTTTTAATGTGCGTGCGTTGTGTATGTTTTTGAAACCTTTCAAGTTAATAACTGCCAAGAATTGTTCGGAGATCTGGACTCTGATGATAACCCCTGCATCCAAATTCTCGGAACAGGCTTCTACCCCTATTATCTTTCTACCATTACTCATTTCAACCCTGCTTTTACATACAGACTTCAGATCACCCAGGCAGGCACAGCTGCAGCTGAATTTTAAATTACGCTGAGAATGAAGATTAAAAAACATGAACTGGCTATAGCTGTCACTTCATCCCCCTGCACATTAAATGGCCCCAGCTACTTTGCTTTCAAATCTACATTCTCAATTTAAAAAGAGAGCTGGTCTGAGTTATTGAGTACCCTGGGGCAAGTCATAGATGGGCTGCAGTTGGGATTTTTCTTTCAGATTACTGCTACCCTGATTGAGAGATGGATTCAAAATCAATAAGGCCGTAGGCAGGGTAACAATTAAGGCTTGCCACATTGAAACCTTCTGATATAAACCACAATCTCAATTTACCTGGCCATACAGGATCAATGCATGATTTCAGAAAATATATAGAAAGCAAATGAAAATATCCAAAGGCTGATTCCATATTCACATATTCACAGACTGCTCCACATACACTAATCCACTGATTCCACACACTGACTGCCACTCACACACTAATCCACTGATTCCACACACTGACTGCCACTCACACCGTAATCCACTGACTCCATATCCTGACTGTCACTCATACACAAATCCACTGATTCCACATACTGACTGCCACTCACACACCAATCCACTGACTCCACATACTGACTGCCACTCACACACTTATCCACTGATTCCACACACTGACTGCCTACACACAGTAATCCACTGATTCTACATACTGACTGCCACTTACACACTAAGCCACTGATTCCACGTACTGATTGCCACTCACACACTAATCCACTGACTCCACATACTGACTGCCACTCAGACACTAATCCACTGATTCCACATACTGACTGCCACTCACACACTTATCCACTGATTCCACATGCTGGCTGTCCCTCACACCAAGTGACACTAATCCACTGATTCCACATAGTGACTGCCACGTAAACACCAATCCACTGATTCCACACTCCGACTGTCCCTCACACACTAATCCACTGATTCCACATACTGACTGCCACTCAAACACTAAGCCACTGACTACACATACTGACTGCCATTCACACACTGTCATGGACGTTCCCGTGCCACATCCTGCTGGAGAGGCATAACAGCTAGCCTCCTGCCCACAGACTATGGGCCTGGTCACAGACTTTATATACATGCATGTGGTTTTTCTCTGAAATAAACAGTTCTCTTGTTTTACCCAATACAACTAGTCTTGTCCACTATATTGGGGAATTTGACATCATATTCCGGCTCCGGCATCACTGCGGTGCGCGCAAGGGAGCTGGGCACAGAGCGCTCAGTGGAGAGTGCTCCCTCGCGCGCGCGCCAGCCAGACCGCCCAGTGACACCAGGGCCAGTGGCTGGGCCCCCTGGTGGGCCGGCCCGGTCGCAGCCATGACCGCTGCGACCTCTGCGACCGCGGTATGTACACCAGTGTCCTAGCGATAGTGCTTGTTACAGAGAGAGGAGACAACTGGTCTCTCTCCCCAGCGGCAGTGTACATTGCAAGGAGTGGAGACAGCCGGAACCCCTGCCCAACAGCAGCATTAGTTAATGGGATTGGAGACAGTCGGTCCCCCTCCCCAACAGCAGCCAGAGTTACTGGGAGTGGAGACAGTCGGTCCCCCTCCTCAGCAGCAGTGCTTGTTACAGGGAGAGGCGAAAACCAGTTCTCTCTCCCCAGTTGCAGTCGGAGCTACCGGGAAAAACAGGGGTTGGCAGATGTTCCCAACAGCACAATGGGGAGCTACCAAGATGGAATGTTGTTCAGGAGGCTACACATGTGGATTTACTTTTTGGGGCTGGTTACCCTACTAACTCAGGCACAGACCCTTTGGAGGTCTGGTACCTTGTTAGTCTACTCTTTGAGGGGAAGATATATCATGGAAGCTCCTGTGCCACAGCCTACTGGAGAGTCATAACAGCTAGCCTCCTGCCCACAGACTATGGGCCTGGTCACAGACTTTGAAATGATATAGGATATGGGGTTATATTGTGCTAATGTTGAGTTATTATGTAAAATGTTAAGCTGGATGAAAGCTATGGTGTTACATGTATTATGTAAAAGCTATCGTGCTATGTGTCTTGGTGTCCAACAGGAAATTAAATTATCATGTCTTGACCCAATTATGTTCCAAACACCAAGACACCAGTAAGTGGTTTGCATTGTGCTGGCTGAAGAACCCCAGTAGTGTGTAGCGTTTTTCTCTGAAATAAACAGTTCTCTTGTTTTACCCAATACGACTGGTCTTGTCCACTATATTGGGGAATTTTACAAGGTTCCAGAGGGCTAGAATCACTGTATGCTGTAGCTGAATCCAGGACCAGTGGAGGATTAGAAAAGGGTCAACCAAGGGACACTAAGAGACCCTGCAACCCATGACACACACCAATCCATTGATTCCACATACTGACTGCCACTCAGACACTAATCCACTGATTCTACATGCTGATTGCCACTCACACACTAATCCACTGATTCTACATGCTGATTGCCACACAGACACTAATCCACTGATTCTACATGCTGATTGCCACTCACACACTAATCCACGGATTCCACACACTGACTGCCACTCACACACTAATCCATTTATCTAATAAACAAATTCAGACAAATCAAAAAAGTGTGTAAAAATGAGTCACTTAGTGTACTGCAAATATTCATAATATAAATATACAGATCAGTTGAAAAAAGTAACCAATAAGGAAAACGAGGCAGAGCAGTAAAAATCTACTTATATTATACTAATATTAATATAATATTAAATATGTAATATATAAATGCATTTTCCCCTTTATTTATTACTTCTCCCTTGATCTGTAATTAAAATCAACATTTAATGGCTGTCCTCTAAATATCAATCATCTTTTTCCCATTAATTGACTCTTTTTTTAGTCGGTGGCTGAACTCTGACTACCAAACAAATTGAACATGTTAGGCTATCACGCTAGTCGTTTCCTCGGTTACATGTAGGTATGGAATTCGCAGATATGGAATTCATCTGAGAAAATGTTCAGTCTAAATTCAGATAAATTTCAATTCAAACAAAACTGAATGCACAGATCTAATATTAAACAGTAGCTCCTAGCTACATTTAAATATTAGTATACAAAATAATTAAATATACGTGAAGGCGACATCTTGAAGTTGTGGGAGGGGTTTGTTCGGCCAAATAACAGGAACCCGTCCTTGAATCACTTTGTCCCACTCGCCATTCCCTCATCTGAATATTTTACCATTCAAGTAGGCAAGCTCTCTTTTCTCTTAGGCTTACTATACGTTGGTATCGGCACACTTCAACTCAATTTCTCTACCGTTTGCGGCCTTGGCCTCTGTCCCTGAATATATATATTGAATTATTGTTATTATTTTTTTTGCTATATGCACATTTGTTATTAGCTTTTAATTAGATTTTTTTTATATGGTATATTTTTGAGCCTTAGTGTGTTTTAATTAATACTGCAGTTTGGTTGCTGCGGCAACCTTATATCACTAATCTGTTACCTGTGCAGATGTTATTAATAACAACACACCTGTTGTTTTTCCCATAAATTAAAAAAAGTATCTTTATATTTACTGAACATTTTATTGCTAGTTTGGCTTGTGACTAAACCACTGCCACATTTTTGTGCAAAAAACAAAATTAATATTCCCTCTGAGTCTTGCCATTTTAATATTCTGTTTAGGGATTACAATGAAATATCCCATTTAATGCACTAGGCTATGCATTATTTTATCTCCAGTTCTCTATTGCATTTATGGGAAATATTCCCATGCACCATTGGTTTCCATACATTAATTCACTAATCCTACCAAGTGACTGTCCCATAAACTGATCAATTGAAGCTAAATCCTGACTGTTTCCATTGAATGATCCACCCATATTATATACCAGCTGTACCAATACACTAATCCTATAAACTGACTGTTTCTATAACTAATGACTAATCCTATTCACTGACTGTTTCTGTGCACTAATCCTATAAACTGACTGTTCCTATGCATTCACCCTATACACCGGCTGTACCTATACACTAATCCTATTCACTGACTGTACCTATACACAAATCCTATTCACTGACTGTTTCTATATACTAATCCTATAAACTGAAAAACCAGATGGAGTCAAAGCGCTTAAGAATATCTGCAGTGCTGCTGCACTACCCCCAAGCACTGGCGGATCCAGGGGGGGGGCAACGGGGCAATTGCCCCCCCCGAGAAATCCGCCGGTCTCCCTCCCCTGCCAGCAGCACATGCAGGTGCTAGCCCTGCAATGTGCCTGCGGACCGGGGGGGAGATCAGAGATCTCCCTCCCCGGTCCGCAGACACTGTGCTGGCAGCCGGCAGGGGAGGGAGAGGGAGGACCCGGAGCTCGGTCTGCAGCTCCTCCGGGTCCTCCTCTCGCGAGATTTGAAGCGTTGCCGCGGTTACCACAGCGACGCTCCAAATCTCGCGAGAGTGAACTCTAGCCCGGGAGCGCGGGCTAGAGTTCACTCTGACCACCTGACCACCAATGAATCCCCACTGGGACCACCAGGGATCGAAATATGTCCCCCCTCCTCCCCAGTAAAGGTAAGAAGGGAGGGGGGACATAGAATAATATTTATTTTAATTAAATAAAAAAATATTATACTATAAAAAA